TGGCTCACCTCTGCATTTAGGTCTGTATTTTAGCATAGTAATGGGTGAATGCTCAGACTCAGGGGTACTGAACTCAGACCTCAAGGGAACTTTTCTCTGTACAACCTGGAGTAGTTAGTTGCACATATGCCTAAATCAGGCCTAGCAATCTGCTTGACCAAAGAAACCATTCCCACATCCACTTCCGGTTTGCAAAGTAGCCTCTGGAAAGTAATTTATTCTCTCTGCTTTGTTTTCCTCATCTGGTCAGCGAGGTTAATTGTACGGAGCGCTAACCCCCATCACAGCAGGCTTCTGAGATTAATAAGGTGATATTCACTGAACATCATGGATGTTGAAAAGTCACTGCCTGAGTTTTATAGAAGTATAAGGGGTAGAGGTGAGGAACACTTTATTCTTCTGTATACTTAGGTAATCAACACTAGTATTTCTTATAAAAAGGCTGCTACTCCCAGATTTTCTACATATGGACTCTATATTCTAGACATGCTGGTTTATTTATTATATAAAAGAATCTGAACCTAGCCATGGATAAAACAGGTGTATAGTCTTCAATTCACCGTAGAATTTTCTTTTAAAAACTTTATTCTGAATGAATTTTCAGAACACACCCATAAATCACATATTTTCTTGCCTTAAAGAGCTATATACATAAACTGTTGCAGGGTTGGCAAATATCTAGCGTACGTGTTACCCACGCCTCATTCTGCACACGGAGCAAACATTGCCGATTCATTAAAATCCTCTTCTCTCTTGAGTAAAGACAGAACCTCTGACTTCTCCACAACCCAGCATCTCAGGCAGCTATCACCGATCAGTTGGTGGGCATGAATTCAATCAATTCAATGAATTAAATCCTTGGTCATTCCTGAGCAACTCCGCCTTTCTAATTTACAGATAAAGAATCCAAAGTCCAGATATTATGTATACGTTTTTTAACTGAAGTCATGCAGCTTGTTCTTTTGGGGGTCCTATGAGCTAAAACCCAGATGGACATGTTCCCACTCCAGTTTCATTCTGTGACACCTGGCTGTTCCTATAATTTTCGAGTCTGGCTGCGTTCATCATAGTCTATATATTCTTCATATTTCTCATTGATTGTCTCGTGCATTTCATCATTGATTAAGTAATATTTATTGAGCAACTACTATGCATGAGTTAATATCCCCTCCACCAAGCAACTTAGAGTTACATAGAAAAAGCAAGTCATGTATGGAAATAGCCATGTGCTTTAGTATTTTCCTCTATTCAACCACTGAAAGTTGGGGCTGAGGTCAGGCGTGATCTGAATGTCAAATGTAACAGATATATTGCAGTTCTTAATTTTTCATCCCACTTAACCATTTTCTACTATCAGTCATTTCCTCTTTCTTGAATTTCTTATTATATTCCATTTTCTTGAGTTTCTTGTTGTCTTTCATTATAATACTCTCCTGATTTTTTTTTCCCCCATCTCTGGAGCTGTTCTCTTTTTAAACGGGGTGTTTTTATTTTTCCTTCTTCCGATTCCTTTATGGTCCATGTTCTTCAGATTCTGACCTCAGCTTCTTTTTTTTTTTTTTCCCACTTTGTGAATTTTACCTGCTTTCATAAGTGCAATCTGCAAACTTCGCCTCGAACCTAAGCATTCTCGCATCTTCATCCCACCCCTGGTATCGACCGATATATTCCCCTCCTTGCTGGATGTGTCTCTAGTGTCCGTCCCGCAGGCACATAGATCTCAACTTTTCCTAAACCTGAATGTATTTTCTTCAAATCTGCTCCTCTTCATGTTTTCCCTAGTTTGGTGAATGGCGTCACCACCCACTCAGTTGCTGCAGCAGAAATACAGGAGTTTCTCTGGACTCCCCCATCCTTTTTCTTCCTGCCCTCATCTTAGGAGTGAGAAAATTCAGTCAGTCCTTCTCTTTTAGTAATTTTGACTGTGTCTCCACCTCCTCATCTCTGTGACTGGTTCCTTAGTCAAGGCCTTGTCTTTCACCTGACTCCTCACGTAGCATCCTAACTGGTCTAATTTCATCTCCTGTGGCCCTATCAATCAAGTCTCCATGCTGCTGTCAGCTTCGTTTTAATAAAACACAAACTGCACATCTGACACACAAGCCTGGGATCATTGAAAGCTCCCCTTGACACTCAGGATTACACGTGAACCCTTTCCCCCTCCAGGATCTTCCTGCCTCCATCTCCGGCTTTGTCCCTCATCACTCTGATCCTGTCCATCAATTAACCCCTCAGTGTTGCGCTTCATTTTCAGAGGATTTTGAGCCCCCGAATGCATCGCGGTCTCTCGCCTTGTTATTCTTGCATATATTGTTTCTTCTACCCAAAATTCCCACTGCTCCTCTTATCTTTACTAAAATAACTCATCCATTACATTTTCAATTCTGATGCCATTTCCACAATGAAGGCTTCCTTGCTCCACAGTATACTTTTAAGAAGTTGTCACATTTTCTGCGTGGCTTTGCAGTTGTCTTCTTTTATCATTAGCTCTCTGTCTCCATGCCTTTCACTACTCATAGCACACATTGCTTGAATCAATTGTGCCATGATTGGGCCTGTCCCCAGAGTCTACCCATTCTGCCCTAGAGCTTCTGGACATACTATGTTATAGTTCCTCTGCTGGAGTTTGTCAGTGCTTTGGCAAGTGGTGAATAAAATGCAGTACTTTGATCCTGGAGTCATCAGGGATTTTGAGATGAAACTAGGATGTATCTTTCTTTGGCCAAGTGAAGGAGAGAGAAGAGAATTATAGAATGACCTCATACTTACTTTAGAGAATCATTTTAATAACATCTATGCTGGGCATGTAAGTTGTCTGTGTTTTTATCTCTGTGATCAGCCATTACTGTTCACTTTACCATGATATATGTCAGAATGATAGTATTTGACTCTTCAAGTCAAAATCTGTTAATCAGCAAGACTCCTTACTGTATCTTTGTGTTCTAGATTTATTTCACAGATATGTGAAATTGGATGTGCCAATTATCAGTTCTCTTATCTGTACATCATTTTAAAATTTGTTTTTATAAACCATGGTCTATCCAGTTACCTGTCATCCCTTTAATCTTCTGCTACATTTTATCCTTACACATGTAGTTGCTTTATTTAGAAAATATGTATTAAAATATACAAGGAGAAAATTGTAGCACTTGTTCCTGAGTGATGGAATGGTCAGATGACCTTGTTCCTCCAATTTTTAATGCTTCTCATATTTTATTTTATTTTTAAATTTTATTTTATTTAAATTCAATTAACATATAATATATTATCAGAGGTAGAGTTCAATGATTCATCAGTCGCACATAACACCCAGTGCTCATTATATCACGTGCCCTTAAATGTCCATCACCTAGTTACTCCATCCCTCCACCCCCTCCCCTCCTGCAACCCTGAATTTGTTTCCTATAGTTAAGAATCTCTTATGGTTTGTTTCCCTAATTCTGTCTTACTTTATTTTTCCCTCCCTTCCCCTGTGACCATCTGTTTTCTTTCTTAACTTCCACATAGGAGTGAAATCATATAATAATTGTCTTTCTCTGATTGACTCATTTCACTTAATGCTTTTCATATTCTAATGGTGAACAGTTTATTTTTTTAACTTTTATCATTTAAATTTTTTTTTAAAAGGGGGAAAAAGCAGTAAAATAAAGGGAACGCATGTTTATAGAAAACAATAGAATTTCATATTCAGGCCAAGCCTTTTCTCATTGACTAATGACCCAGATTTCTTTTTTTTTTTTTTTTTCTTTAATAAATGGTTTATTGATAGTACATTATAAAGAATGACAAAACTGTATTATCTTTATTTCTAGACTTAATGGCCATCCCACAGAAAGCATCTTTGGAACAGAAAAAAAAGTTTTAAGAATTTGTTTTCCCATAATCATAAAGCTGTTCTACTCAGTTCTGGGCCCAGCTAGTGCAACATTCTCCTCAACCCATAGGCTCCATTCCCTTTACCAACTATTTATAATATGTTTGGGTCACTCACAGGAGAAAAACACTGTCAGCATCAGTATTTAGCAGCATTTCAAAATACATTTTTTTTGTCTTGATGAAAAAACTAAACTATTCTTTTAGTGCAGTCATTTCATGTGGCCTTATTACTTCTATACACAAGATACGATCCTTTAACATTTATGTAGGTAAGCATCTCCCATTTTTTTGAAGACTCCCAAAGACTCTGAGGATTTTATTTTTTCACAATAAAAGAAAAAAGGGCAGTGTCAACCCATGAGAGTCAGCCCAGCAGCGTTAAGGAGGCCCTCTGCAGAGCCCAGTTCCTGGTGCGGGAAGCGATCTGACAGCCTCCCCTCGCTCTCAGCTCTTAGAAACAGGTCTGAGAGGGATCAAAGCAGTAACTGTCTGTATTGCTTCATAGCCTTGGAAGAAAACAGAGGTTAAAAAAAATATACAGTCTAATAAAAAGAGTGGAAGCCAAATCCTTTCATTCCAGGGATGTCTGCAAAGGACAGATTCTATGGAGCATGGATTCAGAAAAGATATCACTCCTAACAGGAAAAATAAATCGTGGACAGTCACTCAAGGCCAGGGAAGCAACCACAAAAAGCAACTGGCTTCAAGCGCGCGGTCACCAGGAAGGACACATACCAGAAATCTCGGGACAAGGCGGCCTGGCGCTGTGGTTCAACAGCCTTCAGGAGACGGAGGGCACCAGAGGCCAACAGCGTCACGCACAAAAAGGCTACTACGGCAACAACGTGAGGGCCAGAGATCAGCTAGAGGTTGGGGTTAGACGCCGCCAGAAGCCCGGCCTGGGCTTGTTTTCTTGGGAAGGGCTTGAGATGTGCAGAGGCTTCGTACGCATGTGTTGGTGACCCTTCTCGAGAAGGCATAGAGCAGCCGCTTCAGGAACGCTTTCTACTCATTCGTTTTCATTTCAGTTCACCATTTAAACTAGAAAAGACGCTGTGAGCTATCCCCACTAGCTTCTACCTTGGACACGGCACCGATACTACACACACAACTGAATGGACATTTTCCTGGTTCTTCTGCCGGGCAGGCTCAGTATGCTTCTTTGGACTGAATAGGCGTGATCTTGTTCGAGAAAAGCGTGTAAACGTAGGGCCAGATTTTGTTAGTCTCCGTCCCGGAAAATTGGTGAAGTACTCCTCGGCTCTTGTATAATTCAATGACTGGCTTTGCCACATCCTTGTACTGTCTTAGCCTGGCCGCCACAGCTTCAGGTTTATCGTCCTCCTGCTGGACTAACGGTTCGCCTGTGATGTCATCAACCCCGTGTACATGGGGTGGATTGAAGTCCAGGTTATATACCCTTCCACTAGCGGGGTGGATCCAACGTCGGCTGAGACGATCTTTGAGCGTTTCAAATGGAATGTTCAAAGTTATCACTAGATCCAGCTCGCAGATTTTGTCCAGGGCTTCAGCCTGAACTAAGGTCCTAGGAAAACCGTCTAGTAGCCAGTGCTGGCCGCGTCTACTCTCCAGCTCCGACATCATGAGGCGTGTGATCACATGATCGGGAACCAAAAGACCCTTCTCTATGGACTGCTTTGCCATATCACCAACTTCGGTGTTCGCTTTGATGTTCTCCCGCAAGAAGTGGCCGCTGGAGAGATGTTGGAGGCCAAAGCTCTGAGCGATCCTCTGGCACACGGTGCCTTTGCCCGAGCCAGGCGGCCCAAGGATGACCGCGCGCAGGAGTTTGGAAGCCATTGCCTTCGCCAGGCAGGGAGGGGGCGGCCAAACAGGCAACCCGGACAGCAGCCTCGGAGAAGCCCCGGGAACTTTGTTGCTGCTGCTGCTCCTTCTGCCTCCGACAACTCTCCGCTCGCGCGGGGACTCGCCGGGCGCCCCTCCAGCCTTTCCTCTTTCGCTCCGCACGCGGCGTTCGAGGAAGGGGCTAGGCGGCCTGGCATCCCAGCGCCAGGCTCGACCGAGGGGGAAGCCGGGAGGGGCGGTGACTCCACGCGCGCGCCCCGTCGCCCCACGCACGGGGCGGCCTGGGGCACCCAGATTTCTGTTTAAGAGAATGCCATTAACTTATTTAACCAACAAAGTTTATGAAGTGCCCCAGTTCAACTAGAAGGGAAAGTACTGTGGTTGATGAGACAGAAAAACCCAACGCGGCTTTAGAAGGGAGGGGATGTGGAAAAGGAAGAGAAAGTGATATTAGAGCTTTTTTTCAAAAGATGAGCAAGCACTGATTGCTGAAGAAGCTAGAGGAAGGTATCCAGGCACTGGAAACAGGATTGCACAGAACCACACACACATCGAGAAGCTGGGGGTGCTCGGGTTGCCTGACCATTGCTTACATGTGTGACATGGAGAAGGGGAGAATGATTGCATGCCGTGTTGTTTGTTGATCCATAGATTTTCAGAGGAATTGGTAAAAGGAAGTAAAATGTTGTTTTTCTTAGTTAGCTCTTCAAATCTATGTAATAGCTGATTTCACTGCAATTAGTATAGGTGGCAGTTTTTCCTTAGTCTCTATTTCCCAGGTATCAGGATTTTTTTGTTTCTCTGAATTTGTCACAGTTTATTTGTATGACACCCATTGGACAAATCTTGGTACATCTTTGTGTTGTCATAAGTAGTTTGATCTCCATCTGTGATTTTAAAAACACAGTCCTTGCATTTGATTCTTCCTGTCTCAGGCACCATTTGGGAATTATGATGCCACCATTAGCGAAGAGACTTTCCTAAATAACCTGAAGTCGTAGTAAGCTGCTCATTGTCGCTCATAATCCATGTTCCACAGTGAGATACTTGGGGGACGCTGGCTCTGGAGTGCAGAAGCGCAGTTCGGGGAGGGTGACGTGGGCTTATTATGCTCCACTTTGAATGCGGTGTGTGCCAGCCACATCACCTTATGATTACAGCTAGTTTCAACCAGAAGGTCTCTAAATAAATTCTGGTTTTGTTAATCAACAAAGGTATAATTATGTCATCATCTGCTGTAGGCTTTTAAATCAATGATTCTGAAGCAGATTGTTCTTTGATATTTCCATCACTTTTTCATGAGTTTGCATAGGGAATTTGGGTAGTTAAAAGTTGAGCACCCTGGGCTGACTTCTGATGCCTCCTGATGGCAGGATGTTTATGGTTTTTCTGGATGAGATTGACTGTTGATCTGGTGAGAACCCCATCTAATGAGTAGATGAGGACCCTCTTTTGGAAGTCTGGAGGCTGTGAATATTGCCTTTTCATGAGCCCCAGCTTTGACTAGTCCTCATCTATTCAAATGTACTTAATTGTGTCATTTTGGTGTGTATAATTCTTAGAGTGCTTATGATTCTTAGAGCACATTCTGCTTCCCATAGCACATTTTGCTTTTCAGAGGTCCTTTGTAGTGACCTCTGAGACCCTCTGTGGCTCACTGTGGCAACTCTTGACCCTAATTGCCTTCCAGACACCAGGCGAGGTGTGTGTCAGCTTTAGCTGCCATAGTGGTTCCTAAATTTGGCCATGTGCTAGCATCACCAGGGGGTTTAAAAGAATACTGATGCCTGTGCCCCACACCAGCTTAAGTAAGTCAGAATCTGTTGGGAAGGGGGCCAGGCAATGGTGTGTCTTAAAAGAACCCCCCCTTCCCACCCCAGTGAGTCTACTAAGGAACTAAGACTGAGATGAGCAGAGTGTGGATCAGGACTGAGGATGGGCAGGGTGTGCTCACCTTTGGGCAACGGGGAATGGGGCTGAGGTGTCTGGGAAGCTGTCTTGAGGAAGAAGGGAATGGAAATCCTGATAGACTCCTTCAAGGAAGTAACCATCTAGACAGAGGGGTAGAGTCTGTCTACCCCTGGAGGGCTTGAAGAGAGGAAACTCAGAGCAGGGGGTAGGACATGGGGCCCAGAATGGCTGCCATGTCATTCCCTTCTGCTCTGGAGCAGGCAGAGCCACACTGTGAACAGATTAGGATGGGGGAAAAAAAGGAACAACTCAGCTAAATAAACAACAAAAACTCCAAATTAGTAGACGTTTAGTTCTCCTGTTCACTGTCTTCTGTTCTCATGTTGAATGCTGCTGATTTGGACCTGGATTGTTGGACAAACCAAGGCCATTGAAAACCTCATTAGAGCAATGTTAAGTGAAAGGCTCCGCTCCCTGGTTTTCTTCATGCTGCACGTTCATATCGTGACTGTAACAACTAGGTATGTTTAAGTAAGCTCAGACGCCGTGGTGTATCCAGAGGCCTCCCTTAGGCCTGCTCTTCTGTCCCTTTGCAGCACTGCTGGCCTTCCCTTGCTCCAGCTCCAGGACCTAGATGAAAAGCTAACTATGCCTGTAACCCGAGGGTCTGCTTTTCAGCTCAGGAGCCGCTACCAGCTTCCGTCATGCCTGCCTCTGGACATTGTCTGATTCTGTACCCTGGTGCCCACGTTTCTATTCAGTTACCTCCCTGGATCTGGTGATTGGATTTTTTTTTTTTTCAATTAGCTGAGCTGCTCTAAATAAGCCTCAGATATCTGCGGAGGCTCAGAGTTGGGATCCCAGTTCACACTCTGATTGCTCAGGTCCCCCTCCTGGCTTCTGGTTGCTGGAACGTGTACAAGCAACCATTGTGGAAAAGTCCAGGGTTGTGTCCCCGTCCCCGTCTCCTGCCCTGTAACACACCTGTTCACAAGTAATGAGTCACCTCAATTCAAGATCCTATTAAGGTGTCTAAAAGTACGTTTTTGAATTTGAATGAACCTAAACTTTGTATCGAATATATGCATTTCTGTCTATAGACTGAGCATTAATATGCACAATACTCAGTTTGGTTTGATAGCACCTTCCAGTTCTTCCTCACACATCTGGTTAAGAAGGTTGTGTTCTTCCAGAATGCAGAATTTCTCTCCCTTTCTCTTCAGATTCAGCAAGTGTTCACTCCCCACCTACAGCATCAAGTACTATCTTAAATCCTTCTATCTGTGTTTATGTAATTTCTTGAAGCTATCAGGATTCCAGAGATGGTTTCTGATCTTCAAAGTTCTGGCTGCTGATGGTTTCATCTGTTGTCAAACATTGTACAGTGTTTCCCACAAGCCGATTACGGCTTAGGACAGGCAGTGTGCCAGCTCCAGTCTTTGCAAGGGATGGTCTCTACAAGGGAGGGTCTATTTTTAATGAAAAAAAAAAAGGTCATTTGATAAAAATATCCAGTCAAACCATGATCTCTTCATTCAGGAGGAGTTAAAAGTGAATACTTTTGGGCTTCAAAGGAGTGCTTCTTTGGTTGGATGTGGATTTACCTGTTAACATTTGGCTGTAAAAATAATGGCAGGAAGTTGATATTTGACAGCAAAAATAATTCTAGTGTAAGTAAGAACTTCAGAAAGGAGCCAGAAGAAAAAGAGAGCTTACAGAGCCTTGTGTTGAATCAACAAAACAAATCTCATTACAGACGAAGATACCAGGTATGGATTCATGGAAGTGGAATTAAAACTTCAGAAGTGCTGTAAAATCCCACAGTTTGAATTATAGAATATTAAGGTACAGCTAAATCAGTATTGACTTCTGAATTAGACTATTGATGAGAAGCATCATCTGTATTTGATGAGGATCTATTTTGCATGTTGTGATGTGTATGTGAGTGCGTGTGTGTGTGTGTGTGCAGGAAAGTGGAGCAATGTTACAGAAATTCTGTGTTAAATTCAAAAATTAGAACTGTGGGGATTTTTAAATGTTGTATTAGATTCTGATGAGAGTTGCATGTTTTGAGGTAAAAGCAAGTCTATCTTTAAATGTCAGTCAGGAGTTTGGCTTTTGTGATGGTTTGTTTTACTTGTCAATCCGCCTGGCTGTAGGTTCTAGCTGTTTAATCACACACCAATCTAGAGGTTACTGTGAAGGTCTTCTGAGATGTGGTTAACATCTAAAATCAGTTGACTTTAAGTAAAGGAGCTTGCTGTTGATCTTGTGGGTGGACCCCATCTGATCAGTTGAAAAGACTGCAGAGCAAAAACAGGTTTACTGGAGAAAGAAAAAAAAATATTCTTCCTAAAGACTGCAACATCAGCTCCTGTCCAAGAAATTCCAGCCTGCCAGCCTGCCCTGCAGCCTGCAGACTTGCCAGGCCCCACTATTGCATAAACCCATTTCTTGAAAGAAATCTCTTTATTTACGTGTATGTGTGTGCATCTGTCTGTCTACCTGTCCATCATCTCTTACTGGTTCTGTTTCTCTGGAGAACCCTCACTGACAACAGCTTCCTAAATGGAAAGTGTTTTGAAGATGTCACATGGATAATATCCAGGGAGATGCTGGGATAGGAGAGTGGGGTCTGTTGTTGTTATGCTCCCACTTCTGTGATGTTTTACAAAACGGACCTCGTTGAGGCTGTGCAGAGCCTCCCTGACATAGCCGCTGCTCCCCCTGGGCCTCCCTTGTCGTCTCTGCCCTTGCTGCTCCCTTTCACATGCATGATACCTTCGGCCCTCTTTGCCTTTGTGCATCTGTTGCCTTCTACTTCAAACACGTTTTCTCTCCTCTGTCCCTTGTCTGTGAAGCCTGCCATTCTCCCTGCCCTCCTGTTCACACCAGAAGACCCAGGGGGCTCTCATCTCTGCCTGTCCTCTCCTTTAGAGCGGTGGCCACATCGGGCTCCGTTGATTGGTTTGTGTGTGTTTTTTCATTTGCTAAATTGTAGTCACCACGTCTTAGTCTTATTCATCTTTGTATTCCCGGCACCTAGCACCGTTCCTGGCATAGAGGAGGTGTTCAATCAATATTGTTGAAAGACTGAACTTCAAGTTAGGGTGCTGATGACTGGGAGGTTTCTTAAGTGGCTGTTCTTTTAAGGGCTTGGTATATTCCTTGGACTTGAGACTCTTAAAGAGAAACCCCCAAAGAGAC